TGCCATCATGTTGCTTACGTCTCTGACAGGCCACAAGAGGATCGACACCAGGTAAATTTATTAGCGTTGATCGCCTTCGTCATGAAATCTGCTATGTTGTCTTTGGTATGGATCTTCTGTATATCTACCGGTCCTTCTTCCACCTTTTCACGAATGAAATGGTACTGAATTCGTATGTGCTTAGTCCTTGAATAAAATGATGGATTCCTTGCTAGATGCAAGGTGCTTTGACTGTCACAAAACAGAGAGACATACTCTTGATTGTGCCCAAGCTCCTCCAATAGCATCTTCAACCAAATTGCTTTTTTACTAGCTTGTGTAGCTGCTACATATTCTGCCTCTGTTGTGGATGTAGCCACAACTGACTGCAATTTTGAAACCCAGCTTACAGCTCTACCAGCAACTTTGAATACATATCCTGTAGTAGATTTGCTTTTATCCAAATCCCCTGCATAGTCAGAATCTACATACCCATTGATTAGTAAGTTTGATCCTCCGTAACATAATGCAATATTTGAGGCCCCTTTGATGTATCTCAGGATCCTCTTTACTGTATTCCAATGCTCTTTGCCTGGATTCGCCATGTACCGACTAACCACTCCCACTGCTTGTGCAATGTCTGGTCTTGTGCATATCATAGCGAACATTAAATTTCCCACTGCTGATGCATACGGTACTCGAGATATCTCTATCCTCTCTTCTTCACTGCTAGGACTCATACTGGAGGATAATTTGAAGTTAATAGGAAGAGGGGTAGAAATTGGCTTACAATCTTGCATGCTAATCGTGACAAGATTTTCTTCAAGTAATTCTTTTGTGAAAGCCAAATCTTCCTATTACTTCTGTCTCGGTGAATTTGCATCCCTAGAATCTTGTTTGTTGATCCCATGTCCTTCATTTCAAATTCCCTAGCCAGTTGTGCCTTCAATTCTTTAATATGATCTTTGTTGGGCCCTGCAACCAACATGTCATCCACATTCAACAGCAATATAACAAAATCGTTATCACCAGACCTCTTGAAATAAGCACAAGGGTCTGCATTAAGTCTGTTGTATCCAAGGCACATAATGAAGGAATCAAATCTCTTATACCAACACCTCGGCGCCTGCTTTAGACCGTACAGAGATTTGTTCAACCTGCAAACCAAGTTCTTCTTTTCGTCTTCTTCAAAACCTTCAGGCTGGAGCATATAAATCTCTTCTTCAAGATTTCCATGAAGAAAAGTTGTTTTAACATCTAGCTGTTCCAAATGTAAATTCAATGTAGCACACATTGCCAAGACTACTCGAATTGTTGTTAGTCGAACCACAGGAGAAATTTTTTTATTGAAATCAATACATTCTTTCTGAGCATATCCTTTGACCACTAGTCTTGCACGATACCTCTCCACTTGATCGTCACCATTTCGCTTGATTTTGAAAACCCATTTGTTACCAACTGGCTTCCTTCCTTGTGGTAGTGGCACAAGGTTCCATGTATTATTTTTATGAAGGGCTTCGATTTCTTCTTGCATCGCCATCATCCACAGTGAAGCATATGAACTGTTTATTGCCTCCTGGTATGTTGATGGCTCACCATTCTCTGTTAAAAGGCAGTATGCAATATTACCTTCTATAACATAATCTGAGTACCAATTGGGACGTCTTCTCACACGATCTGATTGACGAGTTGTTGGAGCTTCATAACTCTCTGGTTCTTGTTCATCATGTGCTGGTTCTGCTTCAGAAGAATCTCCTTCTTCAAACTCTTTTTCCACATGTATCTGAGTAGTCTCTGACTTTTCAGCGCTATCATCGTATTCTTTTATTTATAGCTTATCTTCTACAAAGATAACATCCTTGCTAATGATCACTTTGCGGGCAGTGGGATCCCACAAGCGATACCCCTTTACTCCATCAGCATACCCCAAGAATTTGCATTTCCTGGATTTTGTAACCAGCTTTGAAATTTCTTGGGCGTTGTACATCACGTACACAATACTTCCAAATACATGTAGGTTTAAATAATCAACTGGTTTACCAGTCCACATCTCCATTGGTGTCTTCAGCTCTATTGCAGTTGATGGAGCTCGATTCACCAAATAACAGGCGGTATTGACTGTTTCTGCCCAGAATGATTTTTCTAGGCCTACGTCCCTCAACATTGCTCTTGTTCTTTCTAATAAGGTTCTGTTCATCCGCTCTGCCACTCTATTTTGTTGAGGAGTGTTCGCCACTGTGAACTGTCTTTTGATGCCTTCTTTCTTGCAAAAGTCATCAAATTCTTCGCTTGTGTATTCTCCTCCATTATCTGTTCTGAAACACTTGATCTTATTTCCAGAATCAAGTTCCACCCGCACTTTGAAGTTTTTGAAAGTTGAAAACACGTCTGACTTCTTCTTAATAGGGTGCACCCAACATCTCCTGGAGTAGTCATCAATAAATGAGACAAAGTATTTTGCTCCACCTATGGACGTTACTGGTGCTTGCCATACGTCAGAGTGAACCAATTCTAGAACACTTTTGCCTCTAGAATTTGATGTGTTGAATTTCAACCGGTGCTGCTTACTTGTTATGCAATGCTCACACAAAGGAAGTGATACCTTTGTTAAGCCTGGAAGTAGCTTTTGCTCCACAAGGACTTTCATTCCTTGTTCTGACATGTGTCCAAGTTTCTGATGCCATAGCATTGCCGAATCTGAACTACATGAGGCAACAAAGGCTTCTGCTTCTACCAAAGTCTCTCCCTTCAACATGTACAAGTTTGCATCTATTTTTTCACCTTTCAGCACCACAAGCGCTCCACGGAACACCTTCATGATTCTTTTCCATGTTTCAATCTTGCTTGCATTATTATCCAACAATCCGTAGGATAATAAATTTTTCTTCAAGCCTTTCACGTGCCGCACATCTCGAACAATTTTAATTGTTCCATCATACATCTTCAATTTGATGGTTCCCACACCAACGATCTCTAAGGCATGATCATTGCAACTATACACAGATCCTCTTGAGACAGGTTCATAATGATGGAACCATTCTCTTCTTGAGGTCATGTGATATGTCGCTCCCGAATCAATGAGCCATATATCTGCAAATCTTTTTCTGCCTTCCACGGTGGTTGACGCTTCACAGCATAGAGTATCTCCATCATCTGAAGTGTTTGTGGTATTGCCTTGTGGATTGGAGTTTTTATTTAGACTCCAACAATCCTTCTTCAAGTGACCCTTCTTTCCACAGTGGTAGCACTTTAAATTCTTCTTGCTCCTCGACTTCGATCTACCATGTTTATGATTACTGCTTTGGCCACGTTCTGTTGATCTCCCTCTCATCGTTGTCAACGCTTCTGCTTGTTGCAGATTTACTTGTCTGTCTTCCTTGTTCTTGCATCGATTTTCTTCTTGTAGAACAACAGCTGCAACGTCATCGAAGACTAGACTGGTGACATTATTGTTTGTCAAGTTGATGATGAGTTGATCGTATGAATCCGGTAGACTTTGAAGTAGAAGTTCAACACGTTCTTGTTCTCCTATTTTACAGCTTAAGGATGTAAGTTGAGAAAATAAGGTGTTCAGTGTATTTAAGTGCTCCGTCACTGAAGTAGATTATGGCATACGGAGAGTGTACAATTTCCTCTTAAGAAAATTTTTATTGTGCAGCGATGTGGCCTCGTATAATTTGATGAGATGATCCCATATCTCCTTAGTTGTCTTCTTCTCCTCGATGCTTGACAATACTTCATCTGCTAATGCTAGATGAAAGTTTGTCATAGCATTCCCGTCCATCTCGTTCCATTTGATGTCATATGCGAAATCCACTGGCCTTTCATTGATAGCCGCTAGACACCCGTCTTTCCTTAGGATGGCCTTCATCTTCAATTTTCGCAATGAGAAATTTCTCCCATTAAACTTTTCAATATCAAATTTCGTTACCATTGCTTCGTTTACGGATAGCTCCCACTATTTCACTATCGTGAATAGTTATCTGGAACCTTCAAAGAATGGGTAATAACTTCTTACTTTCTTATGTTGGAGGATCCACCTTTTGGTGGCAACCACAAAGACAATAAGCAGATATTACACACTCTAATCTAGCTCTGATACCAATTGTTGCGGAAGACGGCTATCGGATAGAGCAAAATCGCAACTGATAATTTGAGAAAATAAAAATGAAGATAAAAGAGACACAAAATTTACGTGGAAAACCCCTAAAAATTTAGGGTAAAAACCACGGGCAACGGTAGAAGAATTTCACTATGAGAAAATAGGAATTACAACCTCTCTCAATCTACCATGGAGAAAACAATGATAATTCTCTCTAGATAAAAAAGAGAAAACAACTCTCAAGAAACTCTCTAAAATCTCTCTAGTATTGGAAGAAAGCTATAATGCTTTGGGATGGTTTTGAAGCTAAATGAGCTAGGGTATTTATAGTTGAAGCTTTAAGGACTAATTTGTAAATACCCTAAAGTTTAGTGACTAAAGTTTATAATTTACCTATTTAATTTTCAAACATTATTGCACCTAATTTTGACATTGTTGCACCTAATTTTGACATTGTAATATTAGGTGCCTAACTTGAACCAATTTTTCAAGCTTTGACATTTCAACAATATGAGATAAGTATAAGGTAATATCTGTTTAAATATATTTCTCAATCATTTTCTATTGAACCCTCGTAATCCCTGATATTTCTGGTGCTCGAACTCAAGGCCTTAAGGAATAATATTCATTCCTTCACCACTAAAGTAGTATTTGTTTAGATTTTTTTTCGATCTTTGATAATGGATACGTCCCGAAAGCGTAGTTATTCGAACCTGAATTCTTTAAAAATTATTTTTTTACCATTAACGTCCCTTAGTAGATTGTATCTTAAGTTACACGTTTAAAAAGAATTCAATAAAATGTATATTAGAAAGAGATAAATACTACTCAATTAGAAGCAACAAGTGTAGCAGAAAGAGAGAAGCTGCTACAGCATTTTCTTTATCAAAATACAATTATACCCTAAAAGGAAAAGAAAAATTATTACAACTGACTAATAAAGAGAAGCAGTGAGCATACCAGAGATGAGGAAGAAGCAGCAGACATTCTAGCAGTTGAAACTGACAAATTTTGGTGGCTCCGGATTTCCACAAACCCACCCATTATTATATTCCAACAGGATTTTTATATTAGCAATTTTAGATTTTTTTTTATAGATTTTTCTAACTGAGATGGCGTGAGTTGGATTTTCTTCATGGCTTTAATCGAATCCATTCGTAGCGCCCTTCCAATGGTTCATCCTTGAAAATGTCGTAGTTGTACCTAAAAGTAGTCAAGCCAAACAAATTCCCTCTTACTTAGTTTGAAATTACTGTTTGGTTCCCGAGAAAATGTAATACAAGGAAAGGGAGAAAAAAAAAACTAATGTGAACGTACTTTTCAGCAAAGTGATTCTGAAGTTTTTCCTCGGCAACAGAGAAGAATTCTTCCAGTACATATTCGGTTGGCATCTTCACCACCGTTGATCTCCGCTCTGATGGCGTCCACCTTGAATCCATGTCTTCTGCTTCTGCCGACGTCATCGTTTCTCTCCTGCCTCAGTTCACGATGGAGACGAAGAAAACAAGAATTTGAGAGGAGTATATAAAGAAAGAGAATTCAATTTTTAGAACGTAAGAAAGGGAATTTAAAATTTGATTTCAAGAGAGAAATATCAACATAAATAAATTTATTAGTAAGTTCAATTTCACCAACCTTTCTCTGCTGCTGAAATGCGTGGATGTTTCATCTTCAATGCTCTCATCCTAGGAAACAAAATTAAAAAATTCTTCAATTTAATAACATCAATTAAAGCTCGAGAAACTGAAATTCCGAGAATTTATCGTTTCTTTAACAAAAATTTCAAACTTCACCTCCAGATCTGGCAATTCAATATTTCTTTTCTCGCAAGAGCCGATATTGCTTGAAGAACATGACACCGGCACCGGCACCGTGTCTGGTATTCGGATTGCGACGTCAGCTACCTCCATAACTGCAATTCCTCCGACTGTAACGAGTTTGAATGGTTCTTTTTTTTCTTTCCTTTTCTGAGAGAATTATTTTTTTTCCTTTTTTGGGTTTTGAGCATTCGTTTTCTGGTTTTGTTAGTTTTACGATGATGACGAGAGAGAGGGAAACAATTGAACGGTGAGGATTTGTTTTCTGTTTTAAAGAGGTGATGAACTGATGGTGGTCCATATAACAGAATCTGTAACGGGAACATTTGACGGCGTAATATTTTATTCATTTTGTCAAATTCCCTTTATTTTGATTTAGTTATTATCCAATTATACTTTGTAAATATATTATTGCGACTTCATTAGTAAAAATCATTGTTAAATGATTTGGATTCATTACAGAATCAGGATAAGGATGTGTTGTCGGATAACTTTTTTTTAAATAAATATTATCTTATAATCACTTTAAACTAATAAAATTATTATATTTTATTAAATATTTTTACTTAATATTAAAAAATAGATCAATTTAAATATTATTATCTTATTTTTAAAAAATAATATGATATGATTAGAAAAGTAATATCTCCTCGAATTTTTTTAGTCTATCGACAACATACAAACATCTTATAGACTAGGGGTAGATGCACTAAACTTTTATAGGGGGTCAAGTGTATCCTCGTTATTTTGTAAAAATAGTTAAATTTAACTTAATGTATTAAGAGAAAAAGAAAAAAATAAATTTTTTTACATACCTATTATTTTTAAGAGAAAAATATTAAAATTTTGACCCTCATCTTTAAATTTTTAGATCCGTCACTACTATAGAGACAATCATTAAAATCTAAATCCTCTGGAAGAAGACTCATTTTTATCTCTAAATTACTCTACAAGTTAAATATTATTGTTTCACTTAAATGTGCATATTCATTTTCCCCCAAAAGAATGAATACGAAAATATGAATAAATGAAGAAATTTAAGTAAGGGCCGTAAAGGCCTAACAGTTCGGTAACGAAGAAATGAATGCTGACCCGTGGACAATGATAATGATATATCTTTTCACACTATGATGAATGATTCCATTTGAGATTTGAAAACATGCATGCATATATATCTCACGTGGGTCATGTATAAACTAAGCATACATATGGACCACCACCCAAGAAATGCTCTGCGTTTCTTGCTTCAAGTGTCGTGGGATTGTTAACCATACATCAACATCCATCCAAACTCTTTCACATATATTTCAACTAGTACCTATTGCTGAGTAAATGTCCCTTGATTGAAATACTTGCCCGTTTTATACTTGTGATGTCTTTTGGGTGTTAAGTAAAGGTTTTGCTAACTTTATGTTTGATTAAAATCAGCAATCGTAGGCAATATACAAATATGTATATTGTATTATGTTATTTTAAAATATGATATAAAATTAAATGATACATTATATATATGTTATAAATTTAGACAAAGTTAGGATTAAATATTAAAAAGATTAAGATTTATTAACTATTTAAATTTTTGAGTGTGAAATTGAACAGATAGCTCACCTTGTTTGCACTTTAAAAGGGTGTGGTCCAATTCGTGGGGCCGTGGGGGTACATCTCATATGCTTCATCGTCTTCTCCTTTTGCTCATTTAACCTAATGCACCTGCCGGCTTTTAAAGGGTAAGTAGAAAAAAATAATTCACCCACGTTGTTAAATTGGATCAATCCAATAGACAAGGCTATTATATACTTATACCCAAGTTATTCACCAAACAAGCCCAATACGGTCCATAATTTCAAATTTTGTATTTCTATGGAATACCATTAAACTTTAATATTTGAACCAATTTTACCACTAATTTTTTCATCAATTTAAAATATAATATCGAATTTTTTATTTTTAATCATTTTTTCCTACAAATAAGTTAATTCTTGTTCCCATATGTTTTTATTTTGATATGATACATGCCACAGCTAAGCAAGATCAGTTTAGTTCGGGTTTGTTTTTTATTTTGGATTTAATCACATTTACTTAAGTTTTGTTATTGATGCTTTAACAGAATGGTTGGATCCCTTAGAGGTGTTGGAAAAATTCGATAATTCTGGAACTTTTACCGGCATGGTTGTCAAGGGAAATGTGAATCTAATTGTTGGATTTGTGCATGTGTAGATGTAACGTGAATATCCGAACCGGTCAAAATCTTGTGAGTTTGCGGATATTTTAACCCAAATGTGAAATATTTTTCTTAAATAAAACGTATTTTCAAGATTTATTTTGGAATTAAAAGATAAACATTAAAAGGTTTCTTTAATCAAAACACTAATTTTAGAATTTGTTTGATTCTCGTTAATGCTTCATTAAGTTAAAAAATTTCAATTATTCACAATATAAAACCCATAAAATACCGTGTAAACCTGCTACGTTAAGCACCTATTTTAATTTTTCTTTTTGTGATAAACGAAAGCAAAAAAATAATAATTCATGATCTCCTGTAGTTATACTTGTAACAAAAGGAACCCAATTCTAAACAAAAAATAAATAAATAAAATGAATGGTTTTCTGAGCTGCGGTGGTGGGGCTGCTGTGCAATTCACTAATGCTTTCCCCGGATTCATCACCGTCCATTCAATCCAACGTAAACCAATGGTCGGGAGATTTCAGATGGAAAATAATAATAATGATGACGATGATGGTGATAATATGCGTAAATTATAGAAGGGATCACTTTGATTTTATTTCCTTCTCATTTGGGCCACTCAATTTTCAATTATCATGTTATCGATTAATTTTGAGATGTGAACTCACATTCTAATTAGTGGCGTGACACACTATAAAAATAATTTTTAATTCAAATCTTTAATTTTAGATAATATATCAATATTATACTTTAAAATATTTTAATTATAATTCTATAAAAACCCTAGTCGTGATCCTTAATTTTACCATTACCACCTTTCTTAATACATCCTACAGACACCAATACTAACAGTCCCCAGAAACAAGAACCCGTGCCTAAAACTCAAATCCCACAAAAATGAAGTAACTAACAAAAAACCCGTAACTCATCCGATATGCCGATAAAGCTTGGAGGATGAATGGACTAGATGAAGACCAATTTCCCACCTCGTGAGAGATGATCAACCCTTTTGTGCCGTCAAAAAAAATCTTGAGTATTTTAAAACTTGTCGAGAGATGGAATCGTCATTAATTATTTCGAGTTTGATGAGTTTGATGCGATTGAATACTTTCAAGTTTGATTTGTATTTAGCACTATAAATAAAAATAGATTCGAGAATCGATCACGCATGAAAAAGTTAAAGAATCCCATGATTCCGAAAATTAATCTTCTTATTAGTCATCATACACACAAATAACAACAATGACATGTAAAAATATAAAAAGAAATAAAAACGTGATTATCTTCAACGACGACAACAAAAAAAAGCATTAAAAAGTCATGAAAAAAATTAAGAAAATGATAAAACACTTAGAGCAAAATATGAGATGACCTAAGTATTAAATGTATAAACATTTCTGCACCGATTTGCACACAATCTTCTTTGGTGAACCTTCATTTAGTACACTTTAATCCTTCATGAATATTCTTAGGGTGTGCATGTTTCCCTAATACATCACGTTTACGAAGATATTATTTTTTGCGCATTAATTCATTAGTTATTTAATTCTTAATTTTATATCCGAGTCATCTTTTCATATTTAAAGTATTTTTAAACCTAAAAAATTGATTTTTTGACATAATTTTTTTAAAATTAAAATCAAACTTAATCACTCGTAAAGTTTGAATTTGGGCATAATAATTGAACTTGTTTTTATTACAGAAAGGGGAACTCAGATCCCCTAAAACCAATGTACGTGTGACTCATCATCCTAACGACAACGTAGATGACCTATCACTGTTGGCAGAAGATACTTACTCCACCTCTATATATTGAAATAAAATTTGAAAATAGTGCACAAGCGTCGCTTTGGCCGAGTGTTTCCCGCGAGAGTTCTAATCTCTCAGGCGACGACAAGCGTCGCTTTATTTTTTAATATTTATTAAATTAATGTCAACTTTCATATTAAATAATTAAATCTAACCTATATTTTTTAGTTTAAATACTATTTATATCTTCATTATCTTTTAAACTACCTCAAATATTTTTTTCCTTCTAATTTCATCCCAATAACTGCACACTTGTCAAAATTACAGACTTCTGCAGGAGTTTTCCCCCATTTATTTGGCCTACTTACTTTATATAATATAGGGCAAAGTACATAAATGGTCCCCTGACTATAGGGTATTGCTATATTAAGTCTCTCGATTCTTAAAAGTTATAAAATAGTATTCCAACTATAGAGTGTTACTTTGTTGAGTCTCTATTATTAAAAGTTACAAAATGATCACTTAACTATTAATTATGTTCCAAGCTTGTCATTTTTCGTTAAAAATTGACAGTATTCTAAGCTGAACGTTAACATGCTGATTGTGTATGATAAAATATGATCATAGAATATCTCAACTACTATCATATCTCAGTCATTATGTTAACGTCCAACTTAGACAACCGTCATTTTTAAATGGAAAAGGACAAGTTTGTAAGATAATGAATAGTCAGTTGATCATTTTGTAACTTTTAATAGTCGAGGGACATAACAAAATAACATTATATAGTCGGAGGCCATTTTATAATTTTTAATAGCTAAGAGATTTAATAAAACAATATCCTATAGTCGAGGGACCATTTGTGTTTGATGTTCTTGATTAAATATATATATCTCATTATTCAAAATTGCAAACTGAATGAACCTTTCTTTTTTCAGATATACACATTGGATTACAAGTGTTTGATAAATTGTTTATATATATATGTGTGTGTTTATTAAATTAAATAAATATGTATAAAAAATATATTAAATGAATGGATTTGGATTAAGATGTATTTTATTTATTAGACTTACATGTCGGTTTATCTATATATTTATTTTATTTAAAGTTGATTTTTTAATAATGTTCAAAATATTCTCTTTTACCATTTAATAAAATTTTTAAAATTGATACTTAATTTCCTATATAAGGTACATAATTTTTTGGTTACTTCATTTATTTATAATGTGATTATTAATATTTTATATCTAAAAAATATGAATTAAATTCATGAATATACTTGTTCAAATTTTGTTCATTTATTAACCTAGTGACATAAAATATGTGTGGAAATTTACGAAATGACGTGCAAATTCTAATATTTTATGGGTGTGGAATTTAATGATTTCATCCGTGTGAGTGTTTAGAAACAAAAGATCAAAGTTGTAAAAAATTAATCTTGTGGCTGTTTTTGGTTTGTAGTTTTTTCTTTTGATATTATCACATGTATTCTTTTCTTCTGATTAAGTTTAGAAATTTTTAATGAAGTATGTAAAAATATTTTTCTACATGATTCGATCCTATGAATTTATATCATTTTACCAAAAAAAAGTTATAAATAAAATACAGATTATGTTATAATAAATATTTAAAATATTGATATAAATTAATTATTAAAAAATTATATATTAATGATTAAGAAATTATAAAAAATTAGATTTTTTTTAAATATTTTATGAATTCTAAATAACTTGGTCGAAATTATTTTTAATAATAGAATCATTTTGGTAATAGATGGTACATCCCTTTCATGTATAATATTTTATAACCAATTTGACCTTACACTTATTAAACATTCGATCTACTTTTATAATTATTTTAATCTTTTTACATTTGTTTAAAATAAAAAATTATTAAATTATATTATCTTGCGTTAAATCTTAAATTATTTGTTAGTTAAAATAAGTTTTTAAACTATTATTTTGAAATTATTCTGAGTTTTATCGTTATTTTTAGTTTAATAAATAATAACAATTTGATATTTTAAGAAGGGTAAAAAAAATGCATAGTTTAACAATTTTTTAAGTCATGGCCAGCGCAAAAATCAACTTACATAAGTTGTTAAATGAATTGTTGTTATTCCTAGATGTTACGGGTTTGAGCACCAGCGGCTATAGCAAGATGATTAAGCGTTCATTATTAAATGGTCGAGAGTATTTAGAACATAAATTATTACGTAATCACCTTAGATTATTAAAATAATAAAACAAAAATAAGCTTTGGCCGGCAGAAAAAATAAGGCCATGCACGAACAATAAAAACAAGAAACCACAAGTGGGCTTAATTTTTAAAATGATTAAAAAATAAGAATGGCTGAAACATTTTAAGCATGGTTTGCATGTGGTGCCCTTTCGGCCAATTATGATTCGTTTTCTTGAAAAATACAAAAGCAAACCTCCAAAATATTTAAAAAAATAAAGCTATCAGCCAAAGCAATTATGGAAAGTTTTCAGATAAGGTTCGAGAACATTTTAAGCATGCTTTGCATATGGTGCCCTTTCGGCCAATTATGGTTCGTTTTCTTAAAAAATACAAACGCAAACCTCCAAAATAAGATAAATATGTAATCCAAAATATTTTAAAAAATTAAGCTATCGGCCAAAGCAACTATGGAAAGTTTTCAGATAAGGTTCAAGAACATTTTAAGCACGGTTTGCATGCTTGGTTTTTCAGTGTATGCACATGAAAGGAATTCATTACAAATAGGGTGTTTGATACTCGAATTCTTCTCATAATCAACTTAAACACACAGATTACGAATTCGGAATCAAAACCAAAAATGGCTGCCCAGAGGAAGATGTTAACGGTGCTGAGTATCGACGGAGGTGGCATTCGAGGCCTTATCCCTGGCACTATCCTTGCTTCCCTCGAAACCAAGCTTCAGGTAATCTTGAAATATGTTACGATGCGGCCGTAATTTAATACTATAGATCCCGGAAAACATTAGCTTACAAATGGTTTATGTTTTGGTAGGAATTGGATGGAGCGGATGCAATACTAGCAGATTATTTCGACGTCATTGCCGGAGCAAGCACAGGTGGTCTGATAGCCACCATGCTTGCTGCTCCAATCGATCAAGGCCGACCCTTAATTGCAGCAAAAGATATCAACGATTTCTATCTGAAGCATGGCCCCAAGATTTTCTCCAATGAGGGGTTATTTCTAATGCCTTCTATTAGTTACTTTCTTTGAGCAGAATATATTTTAACAGTCCTTTTTTTCTTTTTTATTCTTTAGTCGTCTTAAATTCGAGGATTCAGTGGAAAAATCTATAATACCCCTTGGACCAAAGTACGATGGAGATTACCTAAGAAAATTGACAAAGGACTTATTAAAAGACATGAGTCTCAAAGACACACTGACGAATCTGGTTATCCCAACTTTCGACGTCAAGTACATGCATGCAGTGGTCTTCACAACCAAGAATGTATAGATTCGGTTATCCAGTTTTCGCATTCCTTTTGAAAGGAGAATTGAAATGCATATAACGTATTCTTTTCTTACAGGCCAAGTCAGATGTTTCGAACAATGCTGGGTTAGCTGATGTCTGCAACAGCACCTCCGCTGCTCCGATATATTTTCCGGCATACTACTTCGAAACCAAGGATGCCAAAGGAAATACCGTAACGTATGATCTTATCGATGGCGGAGTTGCTGCTGCTAATCCTGTATGCACATCATTTCTTTCCTCTGTCTCATAATTGTATGTATATATTCATGTGTATGTATGAAGAATTTTTCTAATGTTTCGAATCATGATTTACAGACATTGATAGCTATGAACAGCATTTCCATGGAGACGTTCAAGCAAAAGAGTGAAACGATGGATGGTAGTAGGATGCTAGTGCTGTCACTTGGCACTGGTGCAGCCAAGTTCGAAGAGAAATATAATGCATCTATGGTGTCCCAATGGGGAGTGTTCGATTGGCTCTTTCACAATCTCAATAGCAGTCCATTGCTTGAATGTCTTGGCAGTGGAACCTCCGACATGGTCGACTTCACTATCGCTGCTCAATTCCAATCGGTCCAGTCCATCGAAAACTATCTCCGTATTCAGGAAAACGGGCTGACGGGTGATACGATATCGTCGGACAATGCATCATGTGAGAATATGAACAACCTTATAGACATTGGGAATAAGTTATTGAAGAAACGAGTCTCGAGAATCAATTGGGAAACCGGAATGTATGAAGAAGTTGAAGGGGAATCCACCAATGAAGAAGCCCTTGCCATCTTCGCTAAGAAGCTCTCCGATCAAAGAAAGCTCAGGCCTTCTTCTTAAATGGGCTTGATTTTAATGTAATGCTTTGCTCCGACAAGTGCCTTTCCGTTTGGGGTGTCAAATAAATGTAAGATCGATTTAGATCTTCACTTGTATGTGTGATTCAATAAGTTGGAGTTATTGCTCCGATAAGTGCCTTTCCTTTTGGGGTGTCAAATAAATTTAAGATCGATTTAGATCTTCACTTGTTTGTGTGATTCAATAAGCTGGAGTTATTCTGTTGTTCTTGGTCCTACAAATTATTTTGGGGGGGGGGGGGAATCTTAAGAGTGAATTACAAGGCTTGATTGTGTGTCAGATATGAGTATATGCCTCTTTCTATAGGTCTCTTCGATCAACAGTGTTAAGTAATTTCAAAAATTCAATCATAAAACAATACAGATTCCCTTCACATATTTAAACCTTCAATTTGAACAAAATCTGGCAAGTTTTTGCTGAAGCCGAAGCCTGCATGGTGGGGAAAAACCGATAAGACGTTGCAGTCGAAAAGCATGCTCACATCCATGGCAAAAGTTGAACAAAAATGAATACCTGATTTTCCCTCAAGCCAAACAAAATATGGACAGAAAAAAGAAACTATGCATAGGTTTTGCTAAAGATCTATTGAAACATTCTAGAGTATACCTGTTCTCCCGGTCTCTTCGATCGGCAATCTGCAGTAGTTTTACAAGTTAAAGGAAAGGCAGGGAGGAAAGCATTAAACATTTAACGTGTTTGATAAAGGAAACGGCGATGATTATTAACCTTCTTCCTTGCAGCTGCAAACTCTTTCTTTATTCCACCTGAAGGGTGGAAAATACGGTATAAGATGATCACAGAGTTATACTAAAAGTATGTAATTGAGCAAAGTTGATGAACTAACACCAAGAATGGTACTGAAAACTTATTAAGAAAAGAAAATCAGCCTGAAGACCATATGGAGTTTAGGCCATGAGGCCAATTACATTAACCAAATGTGAAAATCTAGCAAGCCTAACGACTTCCTTTCGATCCTTGTAGCAGTAATATGGAAGGAACGAGATTGCACTGACCATTATTAGGCTCTAAGTTCAATGCCTTTTTAAAGCTCTCAACTGCAGTATCTATATCCTTAAGTCTCATGTATGCCTGAAATAGGTGAAAAGCAAAAGCATGCAGTTTCAAGGAATGAATGAACTTGTCTTTGAATGTCAGGCATATAGTAAGCACCGACCTGGCCTTGCCGCAAGAAAGCTTTCACATTATCTCCACCGTCACGAATTGCAAAGTCGGCCTCCAACAATGCCCCTTTTAAGTCGCCAAGTTTCAAGTTGCAGGCCTGAAACAGACAACTTGGTTGAGCATGCAGTTTCTAGGACCTAACATTTTCAAGGAAGTCAAAATCTTACAGAACAATTCGTATATATCTGAGACTTGATCTTCCGCAGAGCCGAGCATTTCCCTATGCAATGATAAATTAGAGATGAAAAGAAAAAAAGCATGAGATTCATGTCATTAGTAGTAATAACATCTCGGTCATCAAAGAAAGGAACTAAATCATGCACCTCCATCAATGCCCTGCAGCTCCCAGCAAACATCCGAGTAACGCAAAGCCTTGCAATATTTTCGAAGAGCAATCTTATAATCTTGTTTCTATAAGAGGCAAAACAATATCAGAGTTCCAAACAAAAGATGTCCAGAAAGTATGCCACCATTACGCATTCATAATCAAAAACATGATGGAAAACCGTATAATCATATCGAATACCTTGAATTGCTCATTTCCGAAAGCTTTGATAGAGTCTACTGCCTCCATCCACCAAGAAAATTCATCTGGTTTTTTGTCAAGGTCAGCAGGCCAATCAGGATAAGGATCACCATCCTTAAAGAAGTTACATACGCCATCATCTGCCCCCTCAGGAATTTCTCCACAATCAACAATTACAACCTCTTGAGTGGGGCAATTAGTACCATCCTCGGTAGCAACATGGTCGATAGAACGAAGAACACCCACTCCTTTAATAATCTTCCCAAAAACAACAAGCTTTCCATTGAGACGAGACATTCGGTTAGTGGTGATAAAGAATTGAGATCCATTGGTGTTAGGCCCCGTTTTAGCCATTTATAACATCCCTTTCCGTTCATGTTTTAACTCGAAGTTCTCATCCTCGAATTTCAAGCCATAAATGGATTCTCCCCCAGTTCCATCACCAGCTGATATATCCCCACCTTGCATCATAGAACCCCTGATAACTCGGTGAAATCGAACACCCTGTAAAATCATTATGTATTCGTCATACCATTCGCATGGAATCTACACATATATTCAAACGCAATATTAAATCACAATATCACATAATACACAATGTGAAACAAAAACATTTAATCACTACAAAATAAAAAAGATGTGAACACTATTTTAACATTCCATGAAGAAGAAGAGGATGAACCTTATAATGCAGGGGAGCGGAAGTGTCGGGACCAATGCCATTCTCGCCAGTACACAAAACCCTGAAATTTTCAGCAGTTTTAGGGACAACATCCTTGTATAACTCCACTATTAGCCTTCCTTCTACTTCTCCTCCTATACTTATGTCCAAATAACACTTTGGGTTCACTATTTTTCCTCCTCTCTCTAAAACTCTGTGCTCCAACCAAAAACAAAAAGCCATAGGAAAGAAAAGGAAGTTTTTTTTTTTTTTTGTGCTAAGAACTGGAACCGTCAGATAAAGATTTTCTAATAAAACAAAAAATCAAAACTTTGGGTTGGAGGGGCTGCATTACATGAGAGTGACAATGACAATACCGCGGGTTTTGAGGTTATTCTTTAGGGTTGACATTCTTTTTCAACCTTTTGGATTTTTGCTTTGGGTCAAGGTAGAGAATGTGGAGATGTTGGGGGGCCATCCCAATAATTATATTAAAATTAGAAAAAGTATGAATAAATATTTTCTAATAAATAAAAAATAAGATTAATCTAATATTGATTTAAGTTGATAATATATCATAAATTTAATTAAATTATAAAATGAATTGAGAGATGACATAAACACGTATATAAGATAACTAAAATAAGATATTATATAAAAAGATAACATAAATGTTACTAGCTTAGTCCCAAAAAATATACTCTCTACTCGATTCAATTTGATCTAAAAATATATATCCTTTATTCAATACCGACTGACCTAAACTTTTAATGTATAAATCTGATCTTACCTAACTTGATCCGATAAAAAATAAGAATTTAATTAAAATATAATAAAGAGGGGAGTATCATAACAATTATTCATAAATTTATTTAAGGAAAATTCATTATTACTCTCAAGTCAAGTGATAGCTTTTTCATTATCCACTTGAATGTGACCCGACCTAACTCCTTTATAAAATTTGAATCGACCTGACTTGAACCCAACTTTTTTTTAAAGAAAATTTGACGTTGTTGAGTCATGTCGGGTAAGAATTTGTCGATTTTGAGTCTCTATTTTTCGGTGGTCTTTCACTAACTTGATCTCTTTTGTAGTTCGTTTACTGATACGGTCAAATATGTTTGTATCTATCATTTATTCGAGTTTATTATATGGTCATTGTGCAATCTAAGTGTCTAATTTTTGTGTTAATAATCATAAACAAATGTTCTTATTATATATTTAGTGTACAATTATGATTATAAACTTTCAATATAATCTAAGTTTTTTTAATAGAATTAGTAATTTATATTTGTTAGAAAAACTTTTATTATTCTCAATAATTAAAATTATTAATTAAATCGACGTTTGATAATTTGAATGATAAAATAAATGAGCTATGACATTGGGATATATCATTCCACCATGTTTATCAAGGAGTGAAATGGAAAATGCACTAAACAAGCCAATAGGGTATTAAATGACACATATTATTTAATTATTTTTATAATCAATTTATTTATTTAAATGATATATATTAATTAAGTTTTGATTAAATTATAATATGAATAGTTTTAAATCAGTTTAGTTTATGTCGGTTAAGAATTGAATTGGAGTTCCTGAATGTCTTTGGGAACTGAATTAACTGGATAGATTTTTCTCCTGTGAACAAGGTTGCTTATATGAATTAATTAAAATTTAAAATATTAATAATTTAAATATACATCTTAAAAGTAATCTATTATGGTCAATGTAAAATGCAGCAATATTGTATTCAAAGAAATAGAAATCTAATAAAATAAAGGATAAATTACATAAATGGTCATTAAAGTTCAAGTTTTTCTATTTTCTATTGATATTTCAAAAATAATAATTTAATCACTGACGTTATCAATTTATAATAAATCAAACACTCTTTGTTAACAATTATTATTAAAATAACGAAATGTTAATGTGACGTTAAATCAACTTGTATGAAACTGTTTGGCCACACGGGATAACAACTTTGACCAGTGTTTGATTATCCTATACAAAGAAGACGTCAATTTACATTAAAAAAAAACTTATATCACAAATAAGTACCTAAAATATATTCTATTTTTCATTTAAGTATTCAAAATATTTTCTGATCAAAATAAATATCTAAAGTTATTTTTTTAATCAAAATAGGTAAGTAAAATATTTTATGTCAAAATAGGTACCTAAACTATTCAAAAAAAAAATCATCTAAGTTCTAAAAAGGTTGACATCTTGCATTAATTATAGAATATTTTACGTACCTATTTTGACCAAAAAATACTTTAAGTACCTATTTTGACCAAAATGATAACTTTAGATACTTATTTTGATAAAAAAAAATACTATAAGCACTTAAATAAAAAAAGTGATATACTTTAAATACTTATTATATAAAAAAACCCTCAATCCTTAAGAAAAATTTAATTTACCCATTTCAAAATCAAATCCTATTTTACAAGTAACTCTTCATTTCACTTCAATTCTTGTTCCTCCTTGAATATTTTATTAATATATGGGATTTCAACATTTCACCTAATAGTGGTTGATTTTCCATCCAAATCAATGTTGTTCTACATGGTCAAACAATGTTATGTAAATCGAATTAACATGTCACATTAATATTTTATTATTTTAATAATTGATGTTAACGTTAAGCGATCGATTTATTAAAAATAGACAATATCAGTTATCATCAAAACATTAGTAGAAATAAATTTACTATCTTAATGATCATTTATGTAGTTTATCTTAAAATTAATTATGATATATTTTTAGTAAAAGAAAGAATAGGGTAACGGTCTGATGTAGCAGAGGGGGATGGAGTTTGAGTAGACAGTTGAGGCAATGTGTGTTGAGGTTTAGTCATTTCAATACAATGAATGCGTAAAGCAAAAGTCTTGAAGAAAAATAAATACGATAAAACAGTTGAAACAAATATGAAAACAGAGAGTCGGTGATGACGCCTGAGACTGAGTCACTCGGTGGTCATCGGCAGATGCTGCTGCCCCCCGAAATGCCAAAGCATTGAGTGATTCGCACGGTAACACCCATTGACCCATCGACAATGGAAAGCTCTTTTCTCGTCTTTCGTGACTCGTGCATGGGGATTGTTCTTAAACCAGAAATTTCATTACTTGAATCTATAAATAAGCGTGGACGGTATTAATGAGAGAATCGAGACACGATGCGGTTCATTCTTGTGGAATTACCACCGCACCCTTTTTGTAAGAGACAACTGTCAATTCCCAATGACGCTGTGATTGGAGAACGGTGATGTATATATTCTCATCTTATGTTTTGTTATTTATGTAATATGTAATGTTATTGTAAGGTATGTATGAGCATGTATATGCGGATACTAAAATATAATATTAATTATAATTTTTAAAAAATAATTAAATAATTAAAATTAAAGTGATAATTGAATAACTAAATATATAATTGATGAAAATAAAATTGAGTCTACGTAGAAAAGTCAAAGACAACTTATAGGTTGTTAATTATAACAATTTCCCATTATTAAATGCCGTCCATAGAATTCTACAGAATGAAACAACATTTCCAAAATTGTTTAAAAAAATGGTAATTGGCTTATCTTGAAATTTCCAATTAAATGCAATTATTTCATACTAGTAATTAATCTGAAGATCCTTTTTATTGGTATCACCGAAAGTATTTACAAGATTTTTTATTATTTAATGCATTACTTTTATGAAATGAAAAAAATAAAATTAATTCATAATACTTACTATTAAATTATGTCTTTAACTTTATAAAAAAATCCATTAATTTCTTTTAAATGATAATATTAGATCAGAATTGACATTCTAAATAAGAAACAATAAGCAGAAGGCAACTTTTAAATATAAATGATAAAAGATATCTACAGAAATCAAGTTTATTCAAACTGTGATATTTGATTGATATTAACAATTAATTAAAAAGGATAATTACATGAATCTAATGGCATCACATAAAATCATAGCTTAGTACAATCTTTTATTTAGAGGGAGACAGCACAGGAACAAAGAGGTAACTCAGAGACGCATTCAATAGTTGCTCAGGGCCAGGGTAAAAGACAAACCCTTTAAGGTGATAATAAATTTATTCCTTTTTTTCATTTTGATTTTTATTTATATCCCATTTTTATTGAAAACAAAATTTGAGTAGCTTTCCTTTTTAACAACAAAAAATAAAAATTCTCAGATTTTGATCTTAAAAGAAGCTGTTGTCCCTAGTCTTTAGGGTTAGGTTAAAGCACTATCTGTTTGATTTTTCTGAGGGAGAAAAAAGAAAACAAACAGAAGCTTTTTGAGAGAACAAGATCTGCCCAGAGATGACAATGTAATTTGTTTCTCGTTGCGTTTAAGGTTTTGTTTTGTAAGTTTGAAAGATGAAGGATCCAGTTTTACAAGTGAATTCACTATTCTATTAGTAGATCTATTCATCTTCTTTTTTTTTCTGGATCTCATAAGATCTTGAAAAAAGATGTCATCTTCCAATTCTCCATGCGCGGCGTGCAAGTTCCTTCGTCGGAAATGCACCCAAGAATGCGTCTTTGCGCCGTATTTCCCACCGGACAACCCTCAGAAATTCGCCAACGTTCATAAGGTGTTCGGCGCCAGCAACGTGGCCAAGCTTTTGAACGAACTGAACACCGCCCAACGTGAAGACGCCGTCAACTCGTTGGCCTACGAAGCCGAGGCTCGTCTCCGGGACCCCGTCTACGGCTGCGTCGGCCTCATCTCCATCCTCCAACAGAAGCTCAAACAAATGCAACACGATCTCAACAACGCCAAGAAAGAGTTGGCTACTTATATCGGCCCTCAAGCAATGCTTCCCATATTGCAACCGCCGGTCTACTTGCAACATCTCGAAAACCCTTCTTCTTCTTCGTCTTCCTCGGCTGTTATGCAACACAACATGATGCCGGTGATGGGGATTCCCACGGCTTCCGTAACAGCGGCGGCTTCGGGTCATTTAGTGATGAGAGAAACACAGCAGCAACAGGTTTTCAAGGCTCAGCAACAATTGGCGGCGTTAATAGCATCAAGGGAACAACAAGAGATGTTATATGAGCAACAACACGAGATTGTGAGGTTTAACAATGGTTTTGAAGGGTCAGGTCCGGTTGCTGCAGCCGCCACCATGTCTCCAGCTTCATTGGCTCTGGGAAGCTTCGGAAACCCTTATCAGATTCAAGCAAAACAAGCCCATCACCATTGTCATGGAGGCTACCACCATCATCAACTTCAAGCACAGGTTTTACTTCAGTCACAACAAGACCAACCACCGCAAAGATCAGGCAGCGACGATGAGACAAGAAGCATTGGGCAAGTTGAATAAATTAACAAAGAAACCATCTTTTTTTTTGCCTTCCATCAACAAATTTTCAATCTAGGTAAACTTAATTC